GCAGTGATTTGGTTTCTCAGACAACTAATAAGATAATTAAATTGTACATAGAGGGCACGAAACACAAAGCTTAGTAAAGCTCCAGCAAAGGTACTGTGGAAAAGTCAATCAATGTTGGGACTTTTAAGATCTGAAACACAAATCAAACTAGAATGAACAACAAAGGGGTTAATATATACTTTTGGCAGACTATTAGCTACATCTGAAGGCTTTGGAAACACTTCTAAGGATATATATCTAAATATCAGTTACTTGTTGAACACTATCACTTATTTTCATTTTATTCACTGCCACAGAGCCCAGTCATTGGTCTGTCTTGTTTACATGTAGTCCATGTGACCACAAATAAATAAAAATCACAAAGATGGCATTATTCTTCAACTTGCTCCCTATGCACAAACCGAAGTTTGTATAAAGTCCTTGCAGATATACACACTGCAATGAACGAAATGTCCTGCTAAAAGCCCTGCAGTCAAGGGAATGATTTTCAGCACAATGTACTCACACAAAAACTCAGAGCTGAAAATCGACTAAAGGTGTCATCATAGGATCTTAAGTTTTAATACACCTAAAATAGTAACTAATTGAGAGGAACATAATCTTTGAATATAAGAGAAGTAGACTCATTAAATGACTTTATAATTCCACAAATACATTTTGCGATTTAATTTACTCATTGATTAGAAATTTTATGTATCATATGATAAGTGATACAAAATATGAGACTCATGAATAATGAAGATTGCTGCTATTTAATGCAGTCCTTAGAGGTTGTTCTCCAAAATTAGTATTTGAAATTTGTCACCTTATGGGAGCAAAACTTTAGTGCATTTTCACTACAGTATAGGAAAGCTCTGAAATGAGTTATTACTAATCCTAAGAACATTAATTTTAAAGGGGTGGGGGGAAGAAGCAAAGATCTCATTTTCTAAGAAGATCAGCCAGAGAATGACGTTTGAATAAAGAGAATATCTGAGTTATCTCTGATTTCTTTTTTGTATTCTATCAACTGAACATAGCCATGATTCAAAAGAACAAATGTAAAAGATTAAAATTCAAAACTAGGAAACTGACTAAAGCACACAGACATAAACAGACTACATGCAATTATACAACACTACATTTTATTGTCTTTTATATTATCTGTTACAATAGAATTGTAACCTTTTTATTAAAACAATGAAGTTCTCAAGATAACAAAAAATTCGAACCAAATTCCACTCCAGAATTAGCAATCTGTGTAAATCTGGTATGTTAAGTCAGGAATCAACACATGCTATTTCTCATAGCATGCACTATATAAATTACAAGCTCTTCCACCAGGCTTCTGTCACTAGATTTGCTATACTTAAAAACAACATTCTCCATTCAGACACTTAAATGCAACTTTTTTTTTAAATCTGATGTGTAATTCATCTTTATGAAATGAAAACTCATGAGGATTTGCATTTGCTACTTACTGTGTTGCAAAGTAAAATTCAGAGTATGTTTTGTGATTAAATCATGGGTTTTACCCTATGAGGATTCAGAAAGAAACAACTTTATTATGTTTTGTTGACTGTTACTAATGATTTTAGCTTAAAGATCATTAATTCTACCATTAACATCCTGCTTTATTCTCCTCTGAGTTCTTCTATTTATCTCAAAGGTAGACTTTATGTATTACCATTACAAAAAAATAACCATTTGCATAATACTTTATGATTTTACATCTATTACAAACACATCACAGGGAGCCCGAAGACGCATTCAGCAGCTTGTCACTCACCACTTCAAGACCCTTCAAAACCAAACAAGGGGGAGGGTGACATTTTGCTAATGGCAGAAGTGTAGAAATGAATATAAGTAACAAGCCTGGAAGTTTTAATCATACAAAAGAAAGAAAAAATACAAACAGAGGATGATTCATGGGCATAAACAATGGCTTCAATTTGTAAAGCCCCATGCTCTTTATTCAGAGCAAGGTGTTTTATGCATCTTCTGTTACTGACAATAACTTAAATCATCTAAAACTCTGCTACAGAAATAAAGGGAATTCTTATTTTGCTGCATTTACACATTAATGGCATGACAGGATTAAAGCTGACTGCTCCTATTTACAGAATTCATCTTTTTCCTCAGCTTTGTGAAGTGATACGAACAAATTCTTTATTACTTCAGCCTTTATCCAACAAATGTGTATACTAAGAATGTTTACGGAGATAATGGTGATACATGTTTGGAAATCATCCTATTCCATAGTTCACATGAAAGGATTACAAAGGAAATTGTCCAAAGCATCTATATTTTCATCCATAACCACTCCAGACAAAATGCTAAAATAGTGAATGCTCAGTTATGTCTCCTCTAGTTCAAACGCCCATAGCATTTGAAGCTTTCTGTAAACAATATATCTCAATACTAAACACGTATCCATTGAACTACCATGTACTTAATTTTAAATGCAGTTTCAAATGCAGTGCAACACCACCATCTTAGGAACACACACATGCACACACACACACACACACAAACACACTCACACACGGGCTGAAATGTGTGGAGAAGAAATGGAGCACGGTGTTGTTTTTCATTCATGCAGCGGAGTGAGCTCAGTGCCTGCAGCAGCAGTGGAAACGGCAGAAGCCCTGACCAGGCAGGCTACATTTCACTCAAGTCAGAACCTTGCAGAATCACAACAAACTGAATAATCGCCTGGAAATCAAATAACCCCTTCAATAAACCCTTAGCATGGGCTTTGAACGGCTAAGTAGAATAGATTAGTTGTACAGTTTTAATGTGGATGGGAAGGAGGAGGGGTGCAGACAAGTACCACAGGGGTAATATAATCAGGGAATAAGGGCCCAAGAGGCTGCATTCAAAATCACCTCAGTGTAAGAAACTGACAAAACCACCTGGTGTTAAAAACAGCAGAAAAACATCTCCAGCAGAGAAAGCCCTTCCATTCCCAAACACAGCTCCCTGACGCTGCAAAGCTGTCTAATGCACCAGACTCAGAAAAGTGTGTTCATCATGACTGTATTAAAATTGCATTAAACTTGGATGTGCTATACAACAACAAAGAGGATAGTTTGAGCTTGATCACAAATTGCATTACAACTACTTGATGATGGAGCATGTAATTCCTAAGCAATGAAGGCCTTTGACGGATGCAGAAAAACAAGTTGCACTATTATCTGTTGTAAGATGTTAGTGTTGATCAACAAAAGGGGAGGAGGTCCTAGGTGGCCATGGTATTGTTGCAGCAATTGCTGAAAACTTCTCTTGCTGTGCCCACAGCACCGGCTCCACACAGCTGCAAGGCTTACTGACGCCTGCCACATCAGTCCCTGCCAGAGAATCCCAAGCCCCAACGTACGCACTGCTCAAGATAAATCACTGAAAAACGCAGACCGCTGCTGCCTTTTCTTTCTTCTCTTTTTTTCACCTCTTGTTTAATGTAGCTCAAGAAAACATGCAAGGAGTTGCATATGGCATTAATCTGTTAGAAAATGGTGGCCTTTTCTATAAAATGCAGCCAAAGATGTGTGCTCAGTTGTGGTCATTCTTAGGGCGATCACGTTGCTTTCATTCATTCATTCAGGATTTGCAGGAGGATGTGAGCTCCTGCAGCAGCTGGCTCGACCTGGGGAGGAGGGGAGCCCGTTCCTCCCGGCGCATACAGATTACGGGACGCGATTCTCGCCGCTGAGCAGCGCGCTGCACCGCATCCTACCGCAGCTCTCCACCAAGTGGTCTGAAAACAAGTGCCTCCGCAACACGCCAGTTACACATCTGAACTATTTCAACAGGGCAACCAGAACCGCAGTCTCCCGAAGCGGACAAGCCCTTTCCCCAGCCCCAACACCAGCGAGAGAAACCCATTGAAAAGAGAAAAGTCCACCTACCACCCAAACATCGTGCAGAGCCTGACAGCGTTTCCCTTCCAAGCAGAGATTTTTCCACTTGGTCTGCTCTGTTCCTGCACGAGGCGGCAGCAGCAGCAGCAGCAGCAGCAGCAGCAGCTGGAGCTCCAGGCTGTGGGATCTAATGTCAGCTCCTGCACTCTCCCTCAAGAGCTCTAGGTCCTTGTTTTGGCTAATCTTCCTTTTCTCCCCCAGGACTCAACTAGATCATGCACTGGGTCCCTAGACGTACACAAAACCAAACCAAAACAGAAAACACTCGGGGACGCCCACAGCAGCCACCGGTTCACCGTTACCTTTGACACTAACAAAAAAGAAACTTGAGATCCCTTCAACAGCACGACCGACCTGCTCAGCGCACTGAAAAAGTGCAAGGAGAAAAATGCACACAATTTACTATGAAAAACCTCGCGTCGGGCACACGGTACAGCTTCTACGTGTGCTACGGCTCTGATGCATGACTATATAAAGTAGAGGCGAGAGGGAGCCCGGGGAGGGGGAGGAAAACCCCGCACAGCCCCGTGCACTTGAGCGGCACATTCCAAGCTGCCCCCCGCCACAGCCAGCAGACCGCTCACACCCCAACGCACGCCATCAGCCCTCCAGAGAAGAAAGAGGGACTGATCCGGGAGTCACCGGCGGCGCCTTAGCAACTTTGCAGACAAGCACAAAGAGGCTGCAGCTGACCACCACCGCCACCTCATCCGCTGCCCAGTTTGCGTGCGTGCTGAAGCGCTTCGCCCTGTTCCTGCCTCCCCGACCACCAACAGCACGCACACGCGTGAGCTCCGCAATGCTCACACTGAAAAGAATCCTTTCCACTCCGGCGAGGGAAGCCAGATAAAAACCGGGAGGGATTGGAGGCGGGGGGGGGGGTGCATTTAGAGATGCCAGGAGGGTCAGATAAAAGTTGCTTTTCAGTTCGCTGCTCCGAGCCTCGCAGCCACCGCAGGGAGCGGGGTGAGATTTCCCAAAGCCACTTTCACACCTTCGGAGAACGCACTAGCAAAGAGTAGCCCGCAGAGGCTCAAGTTTCCACGGAGGGCACCGTCGGGGAGACGCAGCCCGGGAGGACGGGAGGGTTGGGCTCGCTACCTCTGCACACGGGCGAGCCGGGGCTCCGTCTCTCAGGTGAGCTGCTCCTCCGGTGGCTCTCAGGGGACCGTCTCGGGCGGCCCTTGGCCCGCGGCGCCTGCTCGAGCGGAGCTGCGGCCGCCGGCGGCGTCGGGCTGGGCGGGCTGGGGCCGCGGGCCGCGCCGGGCCCCGGGAGGCTGCCCAACGAGGCGGCGGAGGCGGCGGCGAGCGGGCGCGTGGGACTGTGCTGGCTGCCCCGCAGCAGCTGGTAGGGCACCGTGGCTCGGATGGGCTGCAGCAGCCGGCCGCTGCCCGCAGCCGGGGCGCAGCCCACGCCGCCGCCTCCGCCGCCCGCACTGTTCCCGCTCCCGGTGCCGGTGGCGGCGGAGGCGGGCGGGGAGCCCGCGGCGCTGCGCCGCATCCTCTGCGGCGGGGGATGAGGGGTCTGAGAGGAACTGGAGGAGGAGGAGGAGGAGGCAGTGGACATGGTGGCTCGGCGGGCCCTGCACGTCGCCGGCCGACACGGAGGCGCGCGAGCGTGTGGGAGCCGGCGCGATAGTGCGTGCGGGTGTGTAAGGGGGAGGGGCGGCGGCCGCGAGGGGGAGGAGTCTCCGACGACGGGGGGAGGGGAAGGCTGCGAAAACAGACGTCCAACGGCCCCCAGCCGCCCGGCCCGGCCCGGTTCGGCGTGGCGTGGCGTGGCGTGGCGGTCACTGCCGGGGTGGCGCGGGGCTCGCAGCCGCTGCCGCCCGACAACGCATCGCGCTGACAGGGCACCGGCCCGCTTCACGCAGCCCCGGGAGCCGCCCGCAGGCCTTCTCCTCAGCCCTCGTGGAGAACCCCGGCAGCTGAAGGAACCTCCGATTCGGAGAGCCTGCTGTAAGGGAAGAGGGCCTCGAGGTGCCCGGCGCGCTGCCGAGTCTCCAACGCCGCCCGTCACGGCCGCCGCCGCCTCTACGGGCTCCTCACGCCGAATGGCAACTAGCCCCTCCCCGCCAGCCACACTCCGCCCCCGGCACCGCCCCCTGGAGCCCCAGACCCGGCAGCTGCCGCAGCGAGCGTCGCTATTGGCTCTGCTGCTCTCCCCCAGCGCTCTGGGGATTGGCTATGGAGCACGAGTGAAAGGCACGTTCACCAATGACGGTGGTAAGCCCCGCTTTTAGGGCGGGGCGGCACGAGGAGGAAGGGCTGAAGAGGGGGCGGTGCGTGTGGGGAGGGGCGTAGGAGTTGACAGCCTTTGAGGTGAGAGCAGACTAGGAAAGTGGGTCCCTGTGTGTCCTGCGCGTGCCCGGACACCCACACACGTGCACACGCCCCGGTGAGCCGACTTCGGGAGCTCCACCCCCCGCCCCGGGCCGGGTGTAAAAACTGAAGACACAAGACGCTTGAAGCAAACTTATTTTGCAAGCACACCTGCATCCGGTGGGATGTTAGAAGAAGAATTGATCCCTTTCTCTCTAATTTTAGGAATCATGAGTTATCGGCTCTAGGAGCCTTATTTGTCAGTGGAACTTCAGCCACTAGCAGCACAGCAGTCTTTGGAAACTGGACAGAACAAAGGTCGCCCTGACCTGCAAAGATTGTATCTGAACATTTGTAGTGAGGTGATGAAAAGATACCCATACACGTGTTACAAGACGGTCCCTCTGAATTACAGAGGCCAACACGGGTTTTTACGCCACTGCATTAGCAGTTACATTCATGGGACGGCACCCCGTTGGCTTTCCGGAAGGGGTGGACCTGGCGTAAACACTTGGCAGAATCTAACAATTGACTGAGGGGGTTTTGTTGTTGTTGTTTTCATTCTGCAGTAAAATTGCGGAGATACAAAGATTTGGATGACTATCAGAACTTTAAAGTTTTAAACCTTAAGCAGGACAATTAATTTACGGGTATCAGAGAGCTTCCATTCCCGTGAGGTTAAGAGAAGCCAGAAAGGAGATGGCCTACACCGGGTATCCGGCCACAGCAACAAGCTTCACCTGGCCTCAGGTGCTATGTGCAGGGGTCAGTATCACACAGAGGCTCCATCTCTGCTTCCTGGAGCACAGAGACAAGAAAGCATAACAAATTCTGGAAAATGTTGTTGAAACCCCAAAATAAAAAAATTGGCATGCAGTGTTTTGCCTCCCATGACAGTTCCTCATTTATCACATAATGGAATTACAGGTCACAGTGGCTGAACACTGGCCAGGTGCCAGCAAATGTTCTAAGAACATGCTGTGCATCACTCAGTCCTCCAACCATCTACAAGGTAGGTACTGTCATTCCCACTGTGCTCCCAGCTGAGGCACAGAGAAGCTAAAGACATTTGAGATGACTGGGCTGCCAAGTGGGATGCCAAGAGTGTAACTCCAGCTGCCTCCAGAGTCTGAGGAAGCCCTCTGGTCACTGCTGAAGGTTGGAGAGTTCAAGAGCCGTTAGAGTTGGTAGACCAATCCGAAAGTATCATCTGCAAGATACGTTATCATTAGCTCAAAAGACATTTTGCAATTGAAGACAGCCCATTATTTCTTCTGGCTTTTCAGAATAGTATACTTTCATTATTGCAAAAAATTGCTCTTTGAGGCTTCATATAATTGACCTAGTTAGCGCTTCCATCTAAGAATTAACGATTCTTCATTGATTAAGAAATTGCATTTTTTTTGTCAGTGAAAGAAAAGGATAAGTGGTTTCCTTGTAGTGATAGCAAGAAAAAATTTATGCAGATTAAAAAATATATAAAGTTTCAAAAGTGCTGGTTAATTTCCCAAATTGTGCATTTGATTGCAGCATGTTTACATCATGTAATTATCATCTCTGGCCACTCCTAAGTGCAGGTATGGAGCAGTCCCAGCTCGTTCCAGTACACTAACCTTAAACGTAGGCTAAGTCACTGTCGAAATGATCAATATCTCGCTGAGACCTAAAATCACACACCTAGCCATAAACTAAAGGCTTTCTGTGGCTGTTCAAATCTGTCACAGCCAACTCGAATCACACCTCTAAAACAAATCTAAATGACCTTTACAGATAATGAGTATGATCTTCAAATACAGGTGACAGCTGCTGGTACTTTGGAGGTACAATCACTTTCTTCCTGCCAAAGAGACCTGGGTTGTTTCTTAAACCTTTCCTCTCAGAAGCAATGAGCCGCATCCTTGCGGAATTCAGGATCCAAATAAATCAAAGAGGGCTCAAATAGGTGAACTTTCTACCTGACTTCAAGTGTCCACTTCTGGACAATACCTCACTCGTATTCGGCATGGTGGTAGGCGCCCAGGGTATGCAGAAGCCTGGGAGAGACACTCCTGGAGGGGGTGCGGATTGCTGGTGTGTTGGCTATGAATAGATCCGGTGTAATTTTCCCTGATTGTTGACTGCAAGTGCAGCGATCCTGGAGCAGTCTGTAACAGGCTGAATATTAGTAATGATCTGTTTACTGTGCTGTCCTGATAGAAGCTTCTTGGTTTAAATATGGTGGTGGGCCATATTTTGGGTTCAACTAAAGCTTAGAATCATCGGTTATGTTTGTTTAACAAGATGAGAGATAGCAAGATGAGAAATCAGAGAGCCTGGAGAATTCCTATAAGCTTCCTTTTCTAGTTCCAGCTGGCTAGCCAGGCTGGACTGTCCAGGACCTGGACAAATCTGAGCGGCGATCCAGGCTGTCAGTGTTAGCAATGAGGTCATGGCTGGGAGAGAGCACTGAACAGATCTGCCCTGATGATGTTCATCTTAAGCTGATTAAGTTCTCTTGGAGGTGGATTCCTAATAGCAACAACAACAACAGAGTCCTGCCTGAACTGTTGTCCGTGGCAGATGCTGGGAGTAAAAGCCCTCACTACTGGGGGGTAGCCTGTGTGAAGCGTGCAAGGTGTTCCTTCTGCCTGAAAGCACTCTGCCCTAGATATCCAGATGGCTCCCTCGTGTCTACCACTTACTTATTCAGAGATCACCAACTTCAGCATGGTGCTTCCTAAAATTGCAAGTACCCCTATAGGCTTTCCGTACTCTCTATATCATTTTGTTTTTCTTTGAAACACTTATCACCATCCAATTTGTTACATAATAATTTTGTCTTGAGTCCAGGATGTAAGATCTATAAAGGCAAGACTTTTAAAATTAATTGTACAGCTGCTGTATCTTGTGACAGACAACCAATAAGTACCTGTTCAGTGGTGTTGAAAGGAAGGCAAACTTTAATTATGGTTTGTCTTATGAACTAAAACTTGTACCTTTCATAAAAAAAATAGTGTAAGAACAGGTGTATTTCTGCAGCAAAAGCATGACCACAGAGTAGAAAAATACTCTGTGTGGTTAATGTAAACCGTACTGATGTGAGCACTAGAGCTGGCATTCAAAAAGAAAGAATAACTTGTATGGTCCTAGAACCCTTGTACGGTCACAGTACAATGTTGGTCTCGGTGGTTCCTGGGTGCTTATCAGGAGTTGAAAATGAAAAACAGAATTGGTTACGGAGAAAAATCAGTTGATATTTACAGAGAACAGACAGACCTGAAATTAACAAAGACAGGCAGTTGAAGAGGCTGAGTTGGGAAGTGACACCTGCTGATGGGTAGCTGGTCCTGCTCAGTGTTGCGACCAGCCAGCTACTCTCAAGAGGACTGTGTAAAGGAATTGAAAAATAAACTTATTTAATTCAGTAGAAAGAATCATCACATTAAAATGATGAGTTTTGCTTTGTTACTAAAACAAGTTCAGAAATAGGCGACACTTTATTTTTAACCAGAAAGGTCATCCAAAGAGTGAATATACAGTTATTCTATGAGAATAGAAAACCATGATGAGGAGCACTGGTTTTTCAGTTTCTTTCTTCTCCACAGTGACTCTGGTTGCCAACCACAGCGCTGGTTTCACATGCTCTAAACTACTGCATCGGTGGACACTTACAGTGAACTAAAAAGACTGTACTTTGGAAAAACAGCACATTCCCACTTTTATGTGGGGACCAATGAAATGTAAATATTCGAACCCTTCCCACTGTGTGATATTCCACTTGGTTTGGTCCCAAACGTGATGTTCATAATATGGAAAGTAGCAGTGAACCTCTACCTGATGATGATCATCTTACATTTTAATGAAAGTATAAAATGTGTTTACGGTTAATTTCTTCCTCTGTGGCTGAATCATTTTTAATCACATGAACAAGAGTGTTGAAGCACTGAGGGGGAACAAGTTAATCAGTGGTGCTTGACTAGAGAAGTTTCTTTGTATTATTTTCAACTTTTTGTAGCACACAGGTTTTAAAGTCTTACTCAGCCGTCTATTGAAAAGGTTCATGTTATTGTATGTAAGGAGCCCGGATGAGAGCAGATTAGCAATAATATTAGTATCAAGCCATAATAACTGCTTATCAAGTTACTTATAAAATACTTTAAAGTGCCTTATACCCTGTACATCATACTTGTCATCACACTTTGATCTGTTTAGGAGTAAAAAGACAAGCCTACAAATAAGGCATCAAGCAATGTCTACATGTACACTTTCTATAAAAGAGATGCAGAGCAAATCCTGAGTTGTCCATTATGAAGATTAATGCAAGGAGAGTTTATAGGATGGCTTGAAGGCTGAAGACTGAAAGATGACTGAGGAGGCTTTGAGAAGAGTCCATATGAGTTTGGGTAATGTGACTTTGAGGGAAGACAATGGCATGGAGGAGAACAAAGAGTGATCCTTCTGAGCTGAGGGTCATATGGACCGTCCAAGCAGGAGGTTAGTTTCCAGCTTGAATGCCTGAGAGGGTAGTAATGGCCTCAACAATAACAGGACAGCCATAAAAAGGACTGAGTTTGGGCAAAAGATAGTAAGGTCAGCTAGATTTGAAAGAAACAGGGGATATAAGTATTGGCAAGTTTTAAAGGCTAGTAAAGCTGAGAACACAGAGATGGGTTTGAGGGTTATCCATGAACATATGGTAGTTGAACCCAGAGGTACTTATGAGGTTGACAAAGGAAAAA